GCGAGCCGCCAGCGAAGCCAAGAATATACAGCTGCTCTCGGCGAGATCATTACTCAGGCCGGCACCATGACAATGCGGAAGTACTCGAAGGCCGGATTGTTAGGAGCAACCCAAGTCACCGTACCATCAATCCAATAGCCCGATCCACTCGTGTCCGTGAAGCCGACATTGGTGATAACCGCCTGCCATCCCACATGTGCAAGCTAGTCACGCTGAGTCTTGCGGACCAGTCCTGGGTTGGATCGATAGTATCGGTGACCGTGAGGCTGGTCGTCGACGTGACTTCAGTTGCCTCGGAAGTTCAGGCATTCCAACAGTGGGGCACAAAAGGATTCAAAGCGATGCAAGTCCTTTCGCGCAAAAGAAATACTGTGTTTCCCCGAGGTGCCGTCGTAGTGGTGAAGCTCCCGGAAGCGGCTTCAAAGCAGTGGGAAAACGACGGCGTTGCCGAGAGACCGAGGTTGTTCAGCCCATACATCCTTAGCTGACAGACTTGCACAAGCACATGCGCATGCGCAAGTTATAGACCTTCTTCTGACAGCGGAAAGGAGAGAAAGCTGAGCCAACCACAGGAGACATGTCGCTGTTTGCTGATCCGTGTTGTCTGGAATCGTGTAACCTGCTAAGAGGATGCATGACGCATTCACGAGGCACTGCATTTGGAGATACTGCACCAGAGACGAACATCCGGTGTGCACGAACAGGAAGGTCAGAAAAGCCAGGAAGCTAAGCGATCCAGGTTCTACTCTCGCTACTTCGAAACCGCCGGCGCCGGCAGTATCCAGCGCCAAGTAGATCGCGTAGTGTGACCTTTGAGCGTAGCTTGACAAGCAGAGCTGTATGCCCGCGAGCCATCATCATAAAAGTCAAAGATAGTGCAGACCAACGTCAACAGTGTGAAGTCATAAGTTCCAATGTTGTACGTTCCATCGACCGTCCATGTCAAGGTGCCTCCGACCTGCCCCAGCAGCACTCTGTCAGCAAGCGGCGTGCTAAGATTGTGAGAACATGTTCGAGGGCGAGGATGCCTCGCCAGCATCCGCATCTGTATCAGAGAACGTGCCGAACAAAAGTGGCGGTGGGTCGGGGATGGTGCCACCATTTGCTGCATCTACAAAGTCGTAACCTCTCGTTGGACAGCTTGGCAAAGAGCAACGCAGCACCAGTGACCGCAGTAGCGACTCGAATTAAGATTGCGACAGTGGCCGACTCCGTATGTTGCCACACCCCTCGGCGCAGCTTCTATGCAGAAAGCAGGCCCTGGCATCCTCCAAACCAAGCACGCAACTGATCCGGCATCGGAACAACGACGAAGTACGCAGCCTTTCGGCCCCACGAAATTAGGAA